TACACATTGTATTTAGCAAAGTTATTGGCCGATATCCATCTGTACTGAATCTGCTTTTTCCTGGTTTGTTAATAGGAGTATCTATTCCTTTTTCCACATATATTTATAACTTATAACTATGTTCTATAGACAATACAAATTATTGATATGTTTAAAATAATAAATAAATTAGTTTATATGACAACATTTTTTTATTTTTCTGTAATTCAAAACCGAAAATAAAACTATAGATACTTATAGTTTATCATATAGTTTTAAAAATATTTCATCTCTTTATGAGCTATTTGTATACATTTCACATTTTGACATTTTATAGTTTCTATAAAATATTCGTAAAAAATTATTAGAACAAGKTTCCTTATAAGTAATTCAAAGTAAAAACAAAAATAAAGATAAATTAATAAAATTATTTTTTAATTTACATTTTAAATTCACATTTAGATRTAACTAGATACAGATATCAGTTGTTTTTTCCGTAATTCAAACATTTATTTTTTAAGAATTTAAAACATTTACGTACCTGATACCTATAATATATATCATATTTTATAAACACAGTGACAAAAATAAACATTAAAAATAATTTTATGCTATTTCTTACAAAATGTATAGCATAAAATTGTTCTCAACGGTTCTCCAATAAGACGGTACTGACTCAAAAATCAATAAAAAGGACAAAGAAGAGTGATTATCTACTTTCCACTTTTTAATTCTTATTTTCTTATTATATCAGTAATTTAATATTTGMGAAAAACATATATCATATATATACACTGTATAGCTATAATTTTTAAGACTTGATACGCATATAAAAAGCAGAAACCCAATCAGTGACCCTCTCCAAAATGCTTTAAAATATCAGTTTTTGTGGACTGTGAAAGTATTAATTAGGTTAGACGTAACAATTTATTAAAATTGTAATTTATCTGATAGTTTCTACATAAGTCCAAAATATTATGTAAGTATGTGACGTTACCACACCAAACTATAATATTCGAAATTGTCATCTCTCCCCCCTCCTGAAATGTTATCCTGGCTATACCACTGAACTCAATGGTGACACTTTATGGCTTATACATATAGGTATCTTACATTTATCACTTAGTATAGATTTTTGCCAAAATAAGGGTTTAATTATAACTAACATTTTTGCACAGATTTTTCTTAAATCTTTTAAGAAGATCACATAACAAAATAGTGTTTGAACCAAGAGTGAATATTAAGAAGTTATATTGGCTCAATAAGTTAGAGTGACAAATCTGTACAATATGTTGGCTATTAATTTCAATGATAAAACATTTATTTGAWAGAGTTCGAGGTTAAACCATGTTATAAATTTATAATAATAATTGTTATAAATAAAATCACTTATTCATAAATTATATTTTAAATTTATCTAATTTAATTGAATAATAGATGAATATTGTATAAAATATTTTTCTGTAAACTACTTAATAGGATGATCTCTCTTTCACATTAGCTACATTAGAGTTTAATTGAATCAATCGAAAGTAGCAGAATTATTTTAAAATTCAAAAAAATGATATTTATATTAATTATATATGAATTTTAATTTCGAATTAGAATAAATAGAATAAGGGGAAGCTGAGAGCAAAATTTTAATCCCAACCGCCACAAAATGTAATTCTAGAATGCAATTTGCAATCGATTTTTTTCATTAGTTGAAATAAGGTAGGTACTAACTTAACTATACATATTTAAAATACTACCAAAAATACAATTTTCGACTTTCAAATTGATACTCATAAAGCAAATATCTGGTTGAACATCAAAGAACCACGTAGCTGATGGATCATCAGGTGTCTCGTTTATCTGGTTGAGCAGGAAAATAATATTGGAATATCATTGTTTCACTTTATAGCAGTCACTTAATATTATGACATTCTGTTTTTATTTCTCGTTTCTATACAAAACGTTTTGTCATATTCTTATGCATAATTA